CAGCATCAGCATATCTTGGAAACTTTTTAGAAATGCAGAATCTCAGGCCCCATCCCAGACCTGCTGAATTTATATTTTAACAAGAATATGCAGTGGTTCACGTGTACATTAAAGTATGAAAAACATTGATCTAAAGAGGTAGTTCCTACAAAGTGTTCCCTAACCCAGCAGCATCAGCATCACCTGGGAAACTGTTTAATGAAAAAACAAAACAAAACAAATTCTTGGACCTCCACCCTAGACTTACTGAATTATAAAGTATGTGCTTTAACAATCCCTCCAGGGGATTCTGATGCATGCATGCTAAAGTTTAAGAAGCAGTCTGGAGAAATATTTATCAAGTAGTTTTGATCATAATCCAGTGATAAATAAAATGATTACTCCATTCCTTGACCTATATTGTTGTTACCTGCTGTCAAGTCAGCTCTGAGTCATGACGCTCTTATGTATAGCAGAATGAAACACTGCCTGACGTGGTGTCATCCACACATTTGCCAGTATGTTCTTGTCTTGGGTCTGTAGTGCTGCTATAACAGAAATACCATGTGCATAGTGCCTAAGACATTTGACTGCTAACTAGAAGGCGGGAGGTTCAAATCCACCAGCCACTCCTCAGAAGGAAGGTTAAGCAATCTAATACTGCCTCGGAAACCCAAGGAGGGGTCGCTATGAGTCGGATCTGACTCCACAGCAATGAGTTTGTTTTTTTTTTATGGCTTCAACAGAGATTTATTCTTTTACAATTTAGGAGGCTAAAAGTCCAGGTTCAAAGTGCCAGCTCTAGGGGCTGAGTGAAGGCCCCTTGACCTTGGGCTTCAGCTTTATCTCTTATTCCAAGCCCACTGGACCTGTAGTTGTCTCCTGTTTCAGGCTCACAAACCCAAGATCGGCAGGCAACACAGCCACTGGTTCAAGTGTGGTAACTGGAAATGAAGACTCAGCCAAAAACAGGATCTAAAATGTGCCAAGGAGCTATAGACCTTTCTCAAAGCATTTCCTTATATACCAGAAACAGACCACATTCCAAAGGCAACTCATTAGCTGCTCACAGTGGATTCCACCATGGAGTTAATTACATCGCATCCAATTGCATTATGGGTAATTACTGTATGCAGATGCCCAGCCACTCAAAACCATGACCCAGCCAATTTGACACACAACTTTTACTACCACAGGTCTCATCTATCCTTGTGGCTATTGTGGCAGATCATCTTGCTGAGCATCTCCCATGCCCTTGTTGGCCCTCTGCTTCACCAAACACAATGCCTTTCTTTAGTGATTGATTCCTTCTGATGACATGTACAAAGTAAGTGAGTCAGATAATATTCTTTGTGATCCATACGTGTGTATTGGCTGATTTTCAGAAGTAGATCTCTAGGCCTTTTCTCCTAGTCTGTCTTAGTCTGGAAGCTTCACTGAAATCTGTCCACCATGGGTGATCTTGCTGGTATTTGAAATACTGGTGGCATAGCTTCCAGCACCATAGTAACACACAAGCCACCACGGTATGACAGACTGATAGACGGGTAGTGGCCTTGACCTATACATCCTGTGTTGTCAGCCCCCATCTCTTCTCCAGTCTTACTTTTCGCTGTTCTTTTTTCCCTATGGATCTTTACACTTGCCCATTTACCTAATATTACGTGACTCCATCAGCCTTCTGTCAATTGTGTGAGTACTAGTTTAGCTGCTAACTGAAATGTTGGAAGTTTGAACCTACCAACTGGTTCCATGAGAGAAAGACCTGGAGATCTGATCCTATAAACATGAAATCCAATGGGACAGTTCTTCTGTGTAATATATGGTTGACAGTACACAACAATAACAGCAGTAGTCCTGTCATAGCTTACGGCTGTTGCATATGGCCCTCCTTCTGCTTAAAAGGATGTGTCTTATCCTTCCACACCTTCTCATCTCTGTAAGAATCATTTCCTTAGAGAATTTTATCCAACCCTCTTGTCTAAACTAGGGCATCTATTATGGGACCCACTTGGTAAACTTATTCTCTTAACATCCGAAGCTCCTGAAACATATCAAAAATTAATATTTTCCTCTCTCTTGAGGAAAAGGATAATTAGCAAACTGAATATCAAGCATGTAGCACCAAAATGAGTGTGTAATTTTCTCAGAAAGATAAATTTTATACATTACGAGCATTAAGTGATTACAGAGCTGTTTTTTGAAATTGCTATCTCAGAATTGTTCAAGCTGTAGAAGGAGATTCTTACCATATTGAATTGTTGCTGTAGTTTTTCATTTGCATAATTTAAACAAAACTGTTTGAAACTATTTATCTCAAATGTTTCAAATTTGTAAAACCAAAAATAATATGAGAAAGAAAGAAAAGAAGAAACAATACCTTTTTTAAAACAGTCAAAATGTGCATATTATAAGGAAAGAAATAGGAAATTCCCTAATATAGTGAAACTTTCTTTTCACACCAGTGAAGATAAAAGTTTGTCAGTCACATGGAGTATGTACCTAGCAGGTGAGAATCAGCCAAGCTACAGCATCCTTCAAACACTGGAACTGGGTGGTTCCTGGATATCCTTACTGAATGTTTTGATCAAAGGTGCTATAGAAGAATCCCAACTAGAAGGGGGGATTGTGAAAAATAATTTCTAATTCTTATGAAATACAGATTTTCTGGAGCCATTGAGGCTGTATGAACCCTCCAAATTATTTCCCTGTGATGAACTTTAAACTTTAAACCATAACTATCCCCTGAAGACTTTTTTGAACCAAACTATAGCCTGTCTGAAGTAGTAAAAAGTACATCTGCTTTGAGTAAAGCATATCTGCTTAAAATTCTTCTAAGGAATTATCTGTGTGGAAATAAATTGACAACAGCAACTGGAAAGGTTGTATGGGAAACTTAGGGGGAACATAATGGTGGTGGAATAATTTGGAAAAGGAGACTGGTACCACAACTTGGGGACCTCTGGTGGTGTAGTGCCTAAGGCATTTGACTGCTAACCAGAAGGCTGGTGGTTCAAACCCACCAGCCACTCCTTGGAAGGAAGAGTGGGCAATCTACTTTGGTAGAGCTATCACCTTGGAATACCAAGAAGGGGATGCTATGAGTCAAATCGACTCAACAGCAGTAAGGTAGCACAACTTGAAGGACATAATGTCATTGAGTTGTACATGTAGAAATTGTTTAAATAGTGTATCTTTGGCTGTTTATACTTTCACCAAAATAAAAACCAAAGTGAAAAAAAATTGTCAAAAGAAAGATTTAATATTAGCAATGAGAAGTGTGGAGTTACTTTTTAAATAATGAGGAAGAGTTTAGAAGAAATGATGGTGTTGCCTGATGGACTGTCATGTGAATTGTTTCTCCTAGGGTTGTGTAGTACACAATGCATACAACTCTATGTAGAGGTCCTGGGTACCATTTTCAAATAAGTAATAATGATTTTATCAATACTATCTAACCAGAAAAAAACACAGAAATAGAGGGAATGCTGAGACTGAGAACTACAACTATCATCTGCAGTTCATGGATTAATTGTTTTATTTGCTAACCAAAATAGTCTAATTTTTCTTAATTGATTAACTGATAAAATTCAAATATGAAAAATAAACTTGTATGAATAGATAAAAAAAAAATTCCACAAGCAAGCTCTTTGATACTAATATTGAAGAACAAAGAGGGGCCTGCCCACTCAAACTGTGGGGATGGTGGATTTACGACTGGGTCTTCTCACCACTGACAATCCTTTCTGCTCCAAGAATATAATAGAAGTCATAAAATCTTCCTGCTTTCAAATGGTTGTCTGGTTGATCCTAAAACCTATCATGCCTTTCTTTCCCAAAGTTAATGATCTACTGTTGCTCATATATGAGAATGGGTATTTCATAACCAGTGTTGTAATGTTTGGATGCTGGTTAATGTTTCAGTTCAGAGTGAAGGAGCAGAAAAATGTCTTTTTGACTGGCCTGGGTCAAATTTCTTTGTGTTTTGTAATTTCCATCTTGTTGCTTATTTTTAATGGAAGCACCCCCTCACCCCCATCCCCATAGTTGGCAAGTGCCTAAATTAGCAGCCAGGAAGAGTCTTAGGAATTCAAAATCATGATGTGAACCACATTCACTTTTGTCGTAGTAGTTTTTCATTCAAATAACAGACTTAAGAATTCTAAAGGACGCTAAGGAAGATGCTGAAATTTGGGACAATCAGGATAAATGGATACCTGTCAGTTCTATTTCAGGCCCTGTTTGACTGAATGCTGTTCTCAGTTGTATAAACTTGTGATCTCTATTGGGGATGGAGTGCTTTTTATTGGTGTACATTAACAGAACTTACACATTAGAAAGGTTCTTGCTATGGACTATGATAATCATATGGAAAATGATGTGTTTAAAAGGAAAATATAATTTTCTAATGGTTGGAAAGTAACATTTTAATTTTTAAAAACCTACCATGATCCTGTCTCTTAAGAAGCCAAACTTTAAACTTTTCTTATTCCACAGTCAATATCCATATGTATATCTTTATTTGATTGTAAATTATGAGGCATTATTTTTATATTAATATTTTTTTCATGTTGTAGTAATTTTCATTTTTAGTGTCTGTATAGCATTCTATCAAGTTGATAAATCATCATTGTATAATTATTCTGTTGTGGATAGTATTTTTTTTTTTTTTTTAAGATATATTTCATGTTGTAGTAATTTTCATTTTTAGTGTCTGTATAGCATTCTATCAAGTTGATAAATCATCATTGTATAATTATTCTGTTGTGGATAGTAT